TCCCTTTCCACCTCTAAGTATTTACCTACCTGGACTTCCTGAAAAATTGGAAGAAGTAATATTAGTGAGCTTTAATGAGATTGATGGGCCTCTTCTTTGGAATACTTATTTTTGTGCTTATAATTTTCACCAAGGATTAGTCATGGGCCTAATAAAGTTATGTTTCATTAATTTTTTAAAGACTAGATATACTGGCTAGTTTAAGCTGATTTCTCTTTATTTTTACATTATTTTGGAAAACAGAAGTATCATAGGCATTGATGAAGGTAAAGAAAACTTTTTAGGATATCTTCCTTCCTTTTCTTCCTTTTAATAATTTTTGGAAGAGGGATACATTTCATCATTTGCAGTGACTTTTCATATCTTTTCTGTACAAAAATCATGAATTTGTTTTTCTGCTTTGAGAATAAGGTTACTTTGCTTTGATAAGGGAGGGCTTCTCCCTCTAGGAATGATTTTGTTTTTTAATCTTTGAAATTATTTTTTTCCACTGAGGAAATTATAATTGGCAGGCTTTGGAAAGGTTGAGCACTCTATCCTTAGCAGGATTTCTGTTTATTTCCTTTAAAAAGGTCTTCTTTGGGAGTACTGTAATAGGTTCAAGATCTTGTGCTTCTTCTCTTTCCTTCTCAGGCTCCTGTTCTACACTGGCTCCCTCCGGGAAAATCGTAAGTGGAGCAGCAATCTCTGCCTTGGAAAAAATCAGAGCTGCTGAAATGTCAGCTAAGAGATAGTTCTTAGACAAATAAGGATTCCATGTGTAACAGGCAACTATATAAGGGCTATACCAAAAATCCACAGTTCATAAATTAAATTTTTGCTCTCTCCTATCCTGCTGCCTTTTTAAAGAGGAATAAAACGTTTAACAAAACAGAAGAAACATTCTGTAAGCTATAAAGTGTCTTTCTTCATAGAACATATGATATAATCCTTATAATGCCCCCAGAAAGGTTTTCTAACCTCTGTGAGTTTTTCCCCCTTTCCTTGGAGGAACTTTGAGTAAAGGCATAGTATTTTATTTTGCGCTACAGTTTTGCAGAAGCTCTAACCAGAGATTTTTTTTAATAAAAGCAGATGAAATGTACTCTCAGAAAGGAAAGACCTACCGACTGAATACTACCTCATTATTTCTTCTAGAACATCTTGCAGTAAATTCACAGGAGTTCTCAGAACATACCAAATAAATCAGATGGTACATCAAAACTTGGCAAGGATGGAGGGGAAAGCTGAAAGGAAAGAAAATCATTTCTTCCTGACCTTCAACAGGTTACACATGTGAACCAATAATCTCATAGTTGTTTACAGTCACTACAGATACTCTGTTCCACTTAGGAAAAAAATTATTACCCCTGAAGCCAACAGCATCATCATTGGTCTGCTGCTGCCCAGCATGCATAGGATAAAAACACCTTGCAAGCCATTTTTTAAAATGTTAGTAATTTGTTTCTTAATTATTGTCCAACATCCATTCTGAAAATTGAAAGAGGGACTGCACCTCCTTAGGGCAATATATTTCAGGCTACTTAAGCATTTACTTCTCACTCTGAAACCAATGAGAAGGCATTTTTATTAATTCACTGGAGTAACATTTACATGGTTGGAAATGGAATTGATAGGTTTCAAGCTTCAGCACAAACAGGGAATGTTGCATTGTATCAGGCACTGAAAAAAAGGATCCCTACTTTTGAGAAGCTCAGTAATAGGTAAGATAATAAAATATTCAGATGAGAATTACCAGACACCATATAAATAAACGCTTGCTATTTTACAAGAAAATGTGTGTCCCCAAACCCTGCTTTGTGTGCAAAAACTGCTCTGTTATGGTTGGGTGTGATGACAATTTCTGTATGGTCATCAAAAGGAATATGCAGACCCTCCCTCCCCAAATAAAAGCCACAAAAATGTGTTTCTTTCTCAGTTTTCTTCAGTTGATTGTATGGTGTGGTTCTAATTTCATAGCTGTTTGAAATCCACTGAATAAAAATATAAACTGTCTTCCTTCTGGCACAGCTGAGGAGAAACAAGTATGCTTCCCTTCATATAAGTGATGTCATAAGTCATATAAGTCCCACTCCTCCAAAGAGTGTTACAGCATTGTTAAAGAACCATCCTTGCTTATACCTGTTGCCACCAAGTGAGAGACCATGGCTCATTTCCAGAGAATCAAAATATTTTAGAAAGGAAGGAATAGGCACGTTTAGTTTAGAGACTGTGTTACCCTGGTACCTATTTGGAACGAAAGCATAAACCCCCTTTCCTTAGTCTCTACTCTCATTCTTGGCATAGAATTGCAACCAGCAGGTACTGAAACTTTATTGAAATCCCCAAAGAAAACAGAGTACAGTGTAGAAGGTTTTTTTTTTTTTTCTTGCAATACTGGTTCACAAAAATTACCTGGGAGACGCTTGCAGCAGCTGTATTCAAGTACTTGGTTTTGTTCATTTCATCCTTTGAATTATCAGGCTATTTTCATGCTCGTTGTGTAGGATTTCATTGTTTGATAAGGCTTCTATTATTTTTTTGTTCCCTGAGATTGTGTGTGTATGTGTGAGTGTGTGTTTGTGTAGTTGTTTTCCCCCAAGCTTTCTTCAAAGAGGCAATGTTTGAGAACAACGCTGCCCCAGCTAAGATGGCAACCTGTTTGCCTTGAATATTAACATGCAAGTCAACTGATAGTAGGAGCTACTTGCTTGAGAGCACAACAGAAGATGGGCTTATCACTAAGTCAGATGTTCTCAAACATACTGGAGAGCAATTACTTAGGCACATGGAGGTATTGGAGAATGGTTTAGCTCTTAGCAATCTGAACATTTACCTAGATCTTTTGCATCCTTCAAAATTTTCCAGAGCTATTGATTAATTAATCCACACGACCCTCTAGATGGATGGTCATGCTTTTCACCTCTTTGTTAATTTAATTTTTATTTTTTTCCGGTACCAGGATTGAACTCAGGACCCTTGCAAGGCAAGCACAGTGCCACTGAGCCTAATCCCCAGCCCACCTTGCTTCTACAGATAAGTAATTCAATAATTCCTGGACTATCAAAGCGAAGAGTCAAACCTCTGGAGTTCTGGTCTCTTACCAGTGTTTCATAGTGTCTCTGGGACAGCAAAACAGCATGTCTGAATAGGCATAGAGGAATATAACCTGATTCCCTTTGCCTTGATTCTCCATATCTGTTTGGCAGCAGGTATTTTCCTGGTAATCTGGCAGGAGATGATTGCACACTGGCGCACGAGTTTCAGTCGGACACAGAATGGAGCAAAGGGGCAGGGAAGTGTTTCTGGCCTCAAGTCAGCCTTCTAGAGACCAAAGAGGAGATGCCTTTGTGGGCTCATCCTGGTAATTAAGTCCCTAGGTATCAGTTTCCTGGCAGGTCTCTGAAATCTTACTTAAGAGGGTCACAGGTGGTGATTCCTGCTGTATCCCTCCTACCAACGCAAACGCAAAAGACAGGAACAAGGCTCAGGGTTGGGGTCTTGCTGCCTGTCTTTCCTTTCGTTGAGATCTTCCTCTAGGGAGGGTATCTGCAAGAAGGGGAAAGAACCACCCCTTGGGGGGTGGATTAAAAAATTGTCTTGAGTCCCCTACTGTCCTATTTTATTTATTTATATTTTAAAATCTCAGCACTTTTTGTCTGTGAAACTTTTCAATCTCCCTCTTTTTCAGTCTTTATCGTTTCAGATATTTTGCAAACTCAAGCCTCCTTATTGAAAATTTAGGAAGCAAAATCTTCCTGATTCCAACCTCTTTATCCCCAACCCACCCGCATTCTGCTTTCTGCAAGTGGGTAGCCCTTAGGAGAACGATTCTTCCTAGGACCTACAAGCAGCAGGTTGGAGGGCGCTGTTAGTGTGTTGTGTTGTTTGTTTCTCTGTGTGTTTTCTTTCCGGAGAAGATAAATTGAGGGGTACGTATGCATTATCATGATTTTCATCATTTCATGAAGCGAAGTTCAGAAGAAAGAGTAAGAGCACAGAGGGGGAAAAAAAAGAGAGAAACGCGCTTTCTCTGAAAGAGCAGACAGACAGCGCTTCAAAAGTCCGAGATAAAGACGGAAAACCCTCCTCTCCCCTCCCACTTGGGAGGTTGCCGAGGAACTTCCATTCATTCATTCCAACCCCAGCTAAGCGCTGCGTTTTAGAAGGCATTTCTATAAACTGAGAGGAGGGTTCCCATTCACATGCTCTCAAATCCCAACTCCTGTTTTCCAGTATCTAAATCAGGACTCCTTTACCATGTCACCTGGCCCTGGTGCGGGATGCTTCTTGCCCCCCTCCCCAGGTGTTGCTGCACATCACTGTAGCACGGTGCTTTCGCCTACCTGCTGGGAAATCCTGTAGACAGATGGAATGGTGGCCTCCACACACGCATGCTCCCCCCCTCCTCCCGACCAACCCTGCCCTTCTCCTGCAGGGCTCGTGGGAGCCGCCCATCCCTTCTATCAGTGTCCAGCAGCCTGCAGCTGTGCTGGGCACGTCCCTGGAGCTTCTCCAGTTGCACTCCAGTTGAGGCGCCCCCTCCTCCGTGGTAAGAAGGGTATCAAACGGGGAGGCAGCTCCGCAGCTTGGGCCTCTGCGGCAATGACCAAGGCTGAGAGCTGTGTGTCACTTCCCCCACTCAGTCCCAGCCACTGTGTACCTGGGGCCAGCCCCAAACGCCTCGGGTCTCTTCTGGCTCCCTGAGGGTGTCTCCCATCTCTTTTTCAACACAGAGACCGTTACCGCGCTGTAGCGTCTTCCCGGGGGGAGAGGGGCACTCCCTGCCCTGCAGTCACCCCCATTCTTAGGCCCAGATAACCCACTCTGTCCTCCCACATGTTGCTTCCCGCCTCCCAACAGCTTCTCACTCCCCCGGCCTCCCTATTCCCGAATCTTTCCGGAGTATCTCTGTCAGTGGCAGCCAAACAGGGTGCAAGGGTTACCTCATGTTCGGGGAACTCAGGGGCCATCTGACTTCGCCTTGCTTCTTTCCTCTTTGCAGGGGTGCATTTTCTTACCTTTAACCGGGACCACGTTCGGGGCGATGGCAGTGGCGAGGTCTTCAGAGCCCTCTCTGGAGGGACCGCTGGATACTGCAATAGACATGGTGCAGGACTCGGCTTCGGACAGGTCACTGGAGACGGCTCAGGGCAGGACTCTGGGACAGTTTCTGAGACCGGCTCTGGAGCCAGCAGCGTCGCAGGTTCTGGGACCTGCTGTGTGGCAGGTTCTGGGGGCAGCTCTAGGGCCGGCTCTGGAGCTGGTTCTGGCACGGGCTGTGTTGCCGGCTCTGTGGCTGGTTCTGGGGTGGGTACTGCGTCTAGTTCTGTGGCTGGTTCTGAGGTTGTCGCTGGACAGGGTTCCGGAGCAGGCTCTGGACAGTGCTCTGGTTCAGGTTCTGGCGAAGGCTCTTGGAGTGGTGGAGGAGTCTGCGACGGAGCAAAACGCGGCGGCGGCGGCGGCGGCGGCGGCCACGGCAGCGGAGGCTCTGGAGACTCCGCAGGCGGCTCTCCATCCTGAGGCTGGGCAGTGTCGTGGCTCAAGGCAGCTTCTCGGTCCATAACTGCACACCGCCTCAGGTCTGGACAGCGGGTGCCCCTGAGCTCGGAGGGCTAAAAAGCCCTGGGGAGCCCCGCCCACTGCTGTCCGGCATCCCCGTGCAGGGTGCCAAACTTTCCTGGGTCGTGCTCCAAGGCTGGCTCCGCTTTGAAGTCTGAGCCCGGGCGCTTGGCGTCGCCCTGTGCTGGAACACGCCCCTTGGTGAGCGCACACCTCTTCCTAAGCTGTCACGGACCTGATGGGCGGGAAACAGAGAGGCTTTTGGCTGGGGCGGTGCG